GGATCTGGGTTCAATCCCTGGTACCACATGCTGTGCTGGGTCCTGGAACCCTGGGCACACCATGCTGGCCACCAAAATTGCATGTGGTAGCACACACCTGTTAGCCTAGCGCTTGGAAAGCTGAAGCAGAAAAAATCATCATGAGTTCAAGGTCATCCTGGACTACAAAGTAAGCGCAAGGCCAGCCTGAGCTGCATAATGAGACTCTGTCTCAAAAAGACTAAAAATAAAAAATAAATTTTATTTTTTTTGTGGGGGTTTCTTTGTCTTTTTGAGACAGAGTTTTACTACACAGTTAAGGCTGACCTTGAACTCACTTTGTAGCCTAAGCTGTCCTCAAACATGTAGCAATCCTCATTCCTCAGTTTCCCAAGTGTTAAAAATAAATTTTAAATGAAATGTTTTTTAAATACTTCAAAAAACAAAAGAGAGTAAGGTGTGATGGTACATGCCTGTAATCCCAGCACTTGAGAGACTGAGACAGGAAGATTTCTCTGAGTTCAAGGCTTACCTGGACTGCATAGTGAATTCAATCCCAGGCTGAATACATAGCAAGATTCCATCTCAAAAAAGTTGTTAGTTCCTAGCATTGAACACTTGCTTTTCATCCAGGAATGTGTGTTGGAAAGGGTTTGGAGAGTGGCAATCCTACACTTCCCTTGCTTCTCAAAGGCCAGCAGCTGTCCTAACCCCTGTGTCTTTCACCTTTCATCCTAGGGTCGTTTGTTGAACCTAAGCTGCTCCACAGTGCCTACATTTGTGCTCTCAATCACTGCAACTACTCAGGTAAGGCCTCTGAAGTGGAACAGCAGTGGACAGGAGAGGGGCCTCAGACTAGCAGGGTTTCACTTGACACAGGGAAGCCTGCTATGAATGCCATGTCAATATCTACCTCTCTGCTTTTCTAGGCTCTTGCCTTGATAGAGCTTTACAATGCTCCCGAGGGTCGGTATAAGCAGGATGTCTACCTGTTACCCAAGAAAATGGGTAAGCACAGACTCTTTCTTCCCTATTCTTACCAAAGTAGTTCAGAAGCAGAGACTAAAGGAATCTTGGGGGGGTAAAAAAATAAAAATATATTTATCTTATACAAGAGGAGCTAGGATTCCTAGGTTCCATTCACATTTAACTTATCCTGTTTTCCATGTGGGTTACCATAGTAAAATGTTTACATTTTGTTGGTATTTATCTTATCTGTCTCTAAATTTTGATTCTTTTCTTTTTGGGGAATCTTCTTTATTTTCCTCCTTTGAGATTGTATACAATATACTTTTAAGAGAGAAAAATATCTGTCTCCTACTTTCTCGCGTCTGATTTATTCTAGGTCTAGGCTGTTAAATAGCCCTGACTTTGAAACTACACTTTTTGGGCCAGGTATTTAGCTGAGTGGTGCAGTGCCTACCTGGCAAGCTTGAGATCCTGAGTTCGATTTCTGGTACCCAAATATAACATCAAACTACTGAACAGAGAGACTAAGAGTGGCTCCTATTAAGAGTTCAGTTTTGTGGGTATTATTGTAAAAGAAACATTAAAATTTTAAAGTACATGCCTCAAGCACCTGAATGTTACAATGTGTTTATAAGCCCCTTAGACAAGATAGGTATAATCCCAGCTCTTGGGAGGCTGTAAACATGCAGATCACTACAAGTCCTATCTAGTAGTGAGACCCTGGACACCCTATAGACCCTTCCCTAAAAAAATAAATAACAAGATAGGAATAAATCAGGTTCTGGTTTTATTTCAGCAACTATTAAAAGTTGATGTATTTTCTGGGGCCTGGGAGATAGCTCAGCTGTCTAAGTGCCTGCCTCGCAAATACAGGGACCCGGGTTTGATCCCCAGCACCAAATGCCACACCAGCCCTGCCCCCTGGGTGCACTGAGCCAGCCACTGAAACCAGGGTGGTGATGCACACCTGTAATCCCAGTGCTTGGGAGGTTGAAACAGTAGGATCACTACAAGTCCGACCTGCATAGTGAAACCCTGTACCAAATACATAAAATTTTTTTTAAAGTTGATGTATTTTCTTTTTAATAGACAGTTTAAAAAGATATAAAATACATAGTCCATATTTTGATCAGATATATAATGAAGTTGGGGGAACAAACAAATATATAAGAATATTTTAAATATGAGTAAGTACAGTGCATTCAGATAATAGAATATAAACAGAAACTTGTAAGAGTACTAGCCAGGTATAACGGCGCACACCTGTAATCCCAGCAATCAGGAGGCTGAGGCAGGAGGGCTGCCACAAGTTCCAGGCTAACTGAGCTCCATAGTGAATTGAAGGCACAGTGAAACTCTCTCAAAAAAATGTCAGTTAATCCCAGCACTCAGGAGGTGAGGCAAGAGGATTATTGTGAGTTTGAGGCCAGCCTTGGCTATAAAGTGAGTTCAAGGCCAGCCTAAACTGCATAGTAAAACCCTCTCTCAAAAGAAAGAAAAGAAAAAATACTGAAAGCAAAGGAAGCTGTAGTATCCTTTTCAGTTGAAACTTTCTAATTTTTGCAGGTGTTAGCTTTTCTGATTCACCTAAAGTATAAAGTCCAAGGCAAAGTAAGGTTGGAGCTTCCCAATTTTTTAATCCCCTCACTATCCCATTCTTTCTTTTCAACCCTAAAAACTATTGCTTCTCTCATGTCTCACCTTTCTGGGGAAAAGGAAAGGTTCAAGGCTAAAAAAGATGATAAAGAAGAGATGTTAGACTTTGAGAAGCACTGGGCTGGAAGCTGAAGTCAGCCTTCCTTAGAAACAAAAGCCAATAAGCAAAAGTTAGTCATGTTTCACTCTGCTCCAGAAATCTGGAAGTGTTTCCAAGTGTTTAAGTCTTGGTCTGGGAAGTGGAGAAGAGCTGGCTAGGAAGGATGAATGCTTATCTCAGGGCTTCTGTGGTCTATTCCAGATGAGTACGTGGCAAGTCTACACCTGCCCACCTTTGATGCCCACCTGACAGAGCTGACAGATGAACAGGCCAAGTATCTGGGACTCAACAAGAATGGGCCCTTCAAGCCTAATTATTACAGGTGCCTTGGGCTGCCCAGAAATCGGGGTGTCTAGCTAGTGAAGTGCTTCCTGCACTGGAATTGGTCTTTGCATCTCCCACCATACACATTTACATGAACTCAGGAAAATAAACTGGCTATTGCTTAATTCATCTCCAGAGAACTCTTTGAGAAACTTCCTCAAACATTAAGAAATAGTCCCCTTCCTAGCACCTGCTTCTGCAGAGCGCAACAGCCAGGGTTCGATCCCTGGCTGCTGTGCTGGCCCTGCACCCAGGGCACCCTGAGAAGCAATTGAGACTGAGAATGGTGACGCTCACCTGTAATCCCAACGTTTGGAAGGCTGAAAATAGGAGGATCACTATGAGTCCGATCTCCACAGTGAGACCTTGTATACTTTGTAGACCCTGTCCTAAATTCATTTAAAAAAAAAAAAATCCACAAATATTCCCCTTCCCAAGTTGTACTGGCCTCTTTTCATAGATGTAAAAGGGAGCTGCAATTATCTGCACTCCAAAAAGGCTTCTGCTTCTTTATTACACCTTTGGGCAGGCTCTTCATGTTCCAGCATCCTCACTAGTTGATAACATCACCCTCTCATCTTTCTTTTTCCCTACAGGTATTAAGTTCCTGTAACTCAAGCCAGAGGAATAGAGTTCCGAGCCTTTTCTCCATTACTATCCAAGAAAGAACCTAGCCAGCTGCTTCTCTGATCAGAGCTGTCTGCCGTGCTCACCCTGTGTGTTAGGTTATTTATTTATTAAAATCTAGATTCCTGTGCCTGTAGCCTTGGCCCAGAGTGTGGTTACTACTCCAAGGGCCATGAGAGCCACAGAGGACAGACTGAGGAAGGAAAAAAATGGGGTAACCTTTCCTATGAGGTCATTCATTTCACCCCCTATTGAATCCTCAGCAGTGGCCATTTTTCTCTTGTACAGGCTCAGGAGCTTTCACACTCTTCCTTCTCTGGGGTTTTCTGGAATAAGTTTTCAGCAGCTGCCTTTCTCAGCTTTTTCCCTTCCCCAGACAAGGCCTTTAGGAAGCCACCAAGTTAATATGACATAGTTTCCCAGACTTGACCGTTACTATCACTGCCTTCTTTATTTAAAAAAAAAAAAAAAAAAAAAGCTGTAAGGAAGGAGTATTAAGGCCTTGGCAGGC